CCTGCCAGGCTGAACATTTGCTGCAGCAGGGGCCAGACTTACTGCAGGTCTGTCTTTTTTTGCTCACTTAATTTGTTGCACTAGTTTGTGGCTTCAATCTCATTCATAATGGAATAATGCCTACAAAATTATGACCAGCAGTCTGCAGCCTCTTCCGCAAACAAATGTTCACAGGGCACCTAAGGGCTACATCATCTTCTCACTTTCCCTTTAAAAAAAACCCAAAAAACCAACAACAGAAATTTCAGATGTAATTAGTCCTTACAGTATAATTACTATCTTGGTAGCAAGAAGACAATTAACTGAGTCCCCTGACAGAGGTGAAAGGTACTGGCAATTCCACATGTCACTCAGCTTTCCCTTTTGTAAAGCTGCTTATGTTCAGTGCCTTTCTTTCTGCATTGTTGTGTATTAATATATTCTCTGGGAGAATCCAGTTAAGCAAAAAGAAATCTAGCTTCTTTAACAGTCATAATGCTTCTCTTGTAGTGCACCACTAGGAAAAAAAAAGAGAAACAAATTATTCATATTTATTTAGTGATGCTGAAAGGTGCGAGCACATCTCACTGAAATATTTAGGCCCCGCATCTACTACCTCAAAGGTAAATGACAAAACTCAGTAACTTCAACTATGTGCAATTAAGTCTATAACCTTGCAAAGCTAGACTGCCTTATTCATTTTATTCCAACTCAAGGAGAGTGAAAAGGCACCATCTTCTTAGACAAGTACTGGAAAAAGGGTAGTAGTGGGTATGTTGCAGTCATTGTGCAAGGTGTCAATGGCTGCCTGGTTCTGCCCTCTCCCACCCTTGTGCAGAGAGATGTGCCATAAGAAAGTCACTTGAGAGCAGTTCATTATCAAGGAACTGAACTTTGTATTCTGCAGAATTTATTCCTGTGTATAGTTTCTTGAAAGAATTCATTCTGGACTGAAAACTTTGATGTCACTGCTTCAGGTGGCTTGATTTGGTCTGGAAGATGTTAGAAGGGTGATTTCTAAATCAAATATTTATGATGGGATGTCAAGTTCAATTTCAGCAAGATTGCCAGTAAATGGATGGGCAGGATCCTTGTAGCTAGTGGCAATTTGTTCAGGTTTGGTGACGTGGATATCACATCATTCACATTCATTGCGAATACTTCATTTGTGAGACTGATGTAATTAAAATATATAGATCAATGTCAACTTGCAGTCTGATTCCACAATGATGTAATGAGGTTCATACTGCCTGGGGTGGCTACTCCTAAATCATCCTTAAAGATAAGAACAAGCTTATGGAAGGATTAAAAGCAACTTAACACTAGCTTTTAAACAAGCAAGCTACACTTATTTAAATGACAGCAAGTCTGAAGAACAGAACCTATTTTTTTAAAATAGGAGAAAAGAATGATTAGCACCTTTTTACAGATGGAAACTGAACAGACTTATTCTGGATTAAGTTAAAATGATGAAAAAATATCTGTGTAAAGAAGCTATTTCATTGTAACAAGTAAACCTGTTATTGATATATTTTAAATTTAATACAAGCTTCTTATATCAACCTAAGTACGCACAGAGTGCTGATTGCTGTCTTTTCTCAATCATTTTTAAACTGTGCAAATACTGTTTAACATTGCACGTAGGCGAGCTTGGATTAGAGGAAAGCATTTATCATGTAGTACATTCAACTCCTTCTCCACTCCTATGATCCCCTCTAGTGGTCAATTAATTGTCTGCTAAATGTTTCTTAGTACTACAAATTACTTGTACCTCTCCTGCATTAAAATGGTGTCTGGCTCCATTCTGTTTGAATTCAAGAGACCTCATTTTTTATTCCTGTGCTGCATATGAGAAAGACAAAGCAATGAATCTTTGAAATGTGCAGCTTCTTCATCTGTGGGCAGCTTTATTTTCCCTTCTAGGAGCAGACAGATTGTGTCCACCACATAGAACCCAAAGCCATCTCTGTTGGCAGTGCAGACCAGGAGGTGATGCCCTGCTGTAGCAGTAAGCAGGACCCTTCCTCCCCATTCCTGCCATTAGGCTGTGTGAGAATGCCCACTGCGAGCCTGGCAGCAGGAATACTTCTCAAGCAGTTTCAAACAGTGTAACAATTTGTCCATACAAGTAAATGCTTGAGGTTTACCTACCTCAGTAAAAAACTGAGTCATGTATTTTGTTTTTTAGCAAGATTACAGGCAACTTGTAATTTAGAGATTTCATACAGATTGGCAGCCCTTTCCCCAAAATTCCCATGGTCACCTTGCTGTACAGATAGACACAGCTGCCATTTTGTATCAGTTCGAGCTGATTCAAGTCAGTGCTGATCCAATGCTATCTTCATTTTCTAATCTTGGCTGTGCACCTCTATTTCTTCCTTGCACTAGGAGTTACCTGACTGCTGAGGGAGATGGCTAACTGGCAGTCCAGTGAAAAAGAAATTCTGACAAAAACTGAAAAGCTCTAGGGCACTGGTGAGCTAGCTAAAGTCACATGGGCCTTCTGTTGGAAAATAATGGCTGTGGAGCACCGAGACCTCTCCCTCTGGTGTTCTCACTTGTGTGCTTGTGGTTTGATGTTTATGTTTGTATATTGCACAGGGCATGGGGCAAAGGCAAAGTCCACAACCGTGGGCATATATGGTTACAAAACGTGTTTCAGCCAGCGTTCTCATGATCCTTTTTCCCCTTCCCCAGAGATGGGAAACTCAGGAATGGACATGGAGAAAGCTGTGGACTGCATGAATGGTAACACCATGAGAGGAGCATAAGTATACAATCACAACCAAAATCGTCTCTCAGTTGTGGGTGTCAATAGACAGTTTGGGAAGCTCAAACTTGTCCTCCCTCATACACAGAACAGCTCTAGTACACAGAAAAGTTATGATTTTTCAAGAACACCCTGTGGAACTAAAGCAGTGACTGATACCTGATACACATGCTTGCCTATCACATATATATATATATGTATATATGTATATGTATAAGTAATGCTATCAAAAGACAGTGGGAGAAAATTACTAATTTAGGTGTTTTCCTGTAACATAAATTAGCAAAATACTTTTATTAGGAGTATTTACAGCAAGAACCACTGCTGCCATCTACTTGTACCACACAGTACCTCTTAAATCACTAGGTTTCTTTTTAGTTTTGATAATGTTATGCTAGTTTCACTTCTAGTTGTTCCCAGTTCTTTGTCTTAGCCTGCATTATTGACTGACATGAAAATTTCCCAGTTTTGGAGAACAACTGTATAGGGATGAATCACTCTGGGTGGCACAGAGATACAGCTTTAAAAAAGAAAGGAAAAGAGAAGTGGGTATTTCTGTCCAGTTCTGCGTATCTTGTTTTCTCATTCTACTAATTGATGTTAATGTTTAAAAAGGAGCAAGAATTCATGTTCTGAATCTCTGCTCTCAGATGCATGCTCCTTCATTTAGAGAAATTATGTTAGCCCATTTGAAACAAAAGCTAATCAAAGTTCTGTCACATGGTACAAGCCAGCTGAGAGCTGTGAAAGGGATTGCTGAGGTACTGGCACTGATGTACACATATGGTCAGCATAAGTGTGTCAGCCTTCAGGATGCTCTTCCTTCCCCTGACTGCCATAAACAATGTTTTAATTTCTAGATTTCTGTCTGTGCATGTGGGAGGATGTCATAGCTGTCCTGATACCCACTGTTTAAAGCTTAGCACCCAATAAAGCCACATCTTCTGTTAAACAGAAATAATTCAAAATAGTTGCTTCAAAAATTGTAGAGATTTCACGGACTAAGAATATTTATGTATTGAAATAATTATTTCCATCTGATTGTGTGCCTTACTGGTCTTCATCACAGATGTAGCCACTGGATTTTCTGAAGGTCCATATAAGAAAACACTGGTTAAAAAAGGTCAAAAGGGCTGTTGTGGTTTTACACCTCCTGGCAACCAAGCAACATGCAACCATTCACTGGCTCCCTCCTTCTCTCCCTCTGGGGAGAGAATCCAAAAAATGGAAACACACTTAGGTTAAAAAGTAAAGAGCAAAGGCTAGAAAACTTGTGGGTTGAGGTAGAAGATAGTTTAATACATAAATCAGAAGTCATGCATGCAAGCAAAGCAAAACAGGAATTAAGTCACTGCTTCCCATGAGCCCACTGGGAGCATTCAGCCATCGCCAGGACAAGAGTTATTTGGGAAGACAAATGCCATCATCTCCAACTCCAAACATCCCCCCTTATTACCTTTCTCCCCAGCTTTATATACTGATCATGATGCTACATGGTTTGGAGTATCACTTTGGTAGTTGGGGTCAGCTGTCCTGGCTGCGCCTCTTCCCAGCACCACCACCGTGAAGTCCCTTCACAGCTGGGGTACCATGAGAGCACAGGAAGCAGAAAAAGCCTTGGCTCTGTGCAAGCACCGCTCAGCAATAACAAAAACATCTCTATATTATCAGCACCCTGAAACACAGTCCCACACTAGTCACAGTGGAGAGAGTTCACATCAGCCAAAATCCGCACAGCAGGGCTGAGGCACCACCCCACAGTGGAAAATCTGCAGGTGCCCAGGAGATACGGCCTGCACCATCTCAGGCAGAATTTCTCAATTTGAGAGGTCACAGAAATAATGCCTCAACACCAGCTTTTTGAACCACGACACAGAGGGGGCTTGGGTAGGGGTGGCAGAGCTGGCTGCCCGGCATGAGCCATGTCCGGAGCCTCAAAGGGTGGCTGCGGTCGCTCCCGATCCTCTATTCCTCCAGGCGGCTGGTACCCCGTGGAGCGGGGCCAGCGGGCAGGGGTTTGGGGCCAAATCCGGAGCACAGCCGCAGGGCCAGGAGGAGACGAGCGCCGCCGGGGAAGGGCGAGGGAGCCCGGGCGCCCCCCAGCACGGGCAGAAAGGCAGGGCTGTATGGAAGGGTCACCCCCAGACACAGGCGCAGGCCGCCCCCGAGGCGCTCAGCGCCCGCTCGGAGCGGGGGTGGCCGCCGAGGGAGGGGCGGGGGCAGCCCGGGGCCGCCCCCCGGCCGGGGCTGCCGTGCGGCGGCAGCGGAACGCGGCGGCGGGCGCCGGTTGCGGAGGGCCGCTTTGAGGCGGGCACCGCGCGGCGCGGCACGGCGCCGGCATGAGGGAGCTGCCGCCGGGCCCGGGGATGGAGAGCGACATCTTGGACGCGCTGGAGGCCTTGGGGTAACCGGGGAGCAGCGGCGGCTCCCCCTGCGAGGGGCGAGGGGCCGCGGGCAGCCCGGCTGGGCCCGGAGCGGGCCGCCGCAGCCGCGGGCAAGAGGCCGCGCCGGAGGCGGGAGCGCCGGGAGCGCGGCGTCGGCAATGGAGCGGGNGGTCGGCGGGGCCCGGCCTCGGCCGGGAGCGGGGTCACGGCCCGGGCGGTGCGCTCGGCCCGGCTGTAGTGCGGGGAGGGCGGAGGAGCCCGGGCGCTCCCTGGGCTGCCGCGGCCGTGGTCAGCGCTGGGGCGGCCGCGGGAGGCTGGCGGGGCAGCAGCGCCTTCTGTGGTGCCTGCCCACCTCCCGCCGTGTGCTTCGGATGGTACGGGACAAAAACTGTGCGAAATTTAGTTTTCAGTTACGTTATTCCCAGTACTCCCAGGCAGGTAGTTGTTACTGTTAGGAGGCGGTTTGACCAAACACTTGAGTTAACACCTGAGTTCTCAGGCGTGTTCTGAAAGATCAAAGTGTTTTCACATACATATGTAAAAGTGCCTGTCTCATATTTTCTGACAAACTCTTTTGCATATAAATGACCTATTGGTCATTGGTGTGCTTAAAAAAAAAGAAGTCTGAATTATTCCTTGATGAAAGTAATGTAGAAAGATTCACTCCTTTAAGTGAATGTAGTTACTAACCAGCTTACAGTAAAATAATTTGAAAATATGTATATTTTATGTTATGCTTGCTTCTTATTACTAATGTTTATCCATCTGTTCAGGTACACGGGTGCCCTGTTGGAGGAAGAGGCCCTTAAAAAAGCAGCAGAAAATGGATTGTCTTCACCAGAATTTTTTGAGCTTTGCATTTGGTTGGGTTCCCAGATAAAGTCACTTTGTAATATGGAAGAAAGCATCACTGCAACAGATGGTATATCAATGTTAATTTAGTATTTGTTCAGTGGATTTAGAGCCATACTGTTCAGCTAATAGTGAAATTACAGTGTTGAAGTTTACAAGTAAGCTGAAAGGTAGCCCAGCTCAGGCTGATATTTTTATATATGTGGCTCTTAGATTAAGATCTTGTGTTCTGAAGACTGTTTCAAAAGGAAAAAAGAAGGTGATTTGAGATGGTTTTAGATATACATAAATGTGAAAAGTACATTGATGCCTGTAATCATATTTTGATGGCATGAATTGCAGTGCTGGGTGTGTTCTGGCTGTTGGTCCAGCACAGTGTTGTGGTCAGCACCGTGTGTGGATACCTGAAGTGCTTGGTAGCGCTGCCCGATTGTTTCTGCCCGAGGGCTGGAGTTTGGATGAGACTTTATATTACTTATGTTTTTACCAAAAAAGTAGTGGAACTAAAACCAATCACTGAAAATAATGGGCTCATGACTCCTGTGACTTCTTCATCAGAAAATTAGGTGCATGGACACGCTATATAGTGATATAAACTGTTTACTTCCTACTGATGGTCATTTCTGTTCATGTCTTCACAGACTGCTGTAGCATTACCTCATTCAAAGCATGAGTTCAAGATACTATTAGAAGGCATATCTTCTTGTATATAGGACTTTTTAAACAAAAATGTTACTGAGGTAGTAGGTGGTTAATACTGGGTAGGTAGGTGGGCTGTTGAAATCTGCAATAGAAGTGTATGTAAAAAAAATTAGATTGCAGTTTGATGTTTCTGTAACAAGCCATTAATTGTGCATTTATTTCTATAGGAGTGAAAGATATAGAGAGCTTCCAGCTTGAAATTAGTGGCTTTCTGAGAGAAATGGCTTGTCCGTATTCATCACTGGTGTCTGGAGACATCAAAGACAGATTAAGAGAGAAAGAAGATTGTCTTAAACTCCTTTGTGAGTAATAATCATTTTTCCCGTTTATAATACAGTATTTTATGTGCATGCTTTATCATAACTGAACAATTTACACTGAAGAGTTCTTTGTGTTTTTTAGTTGATGTGTACAGTCGTTACACACTAGCTCAGCATGCATCAACCCGCTTCTGCAAAGTGAAAAATAGAGCACCATTAGGAAGCTGTTCAGCAGAAACTAAAATTTCTTTTAAAAGTATGGTGCAACCTACTGAGGCTTCCTGATCCCTCTCTTGATCCAGTTGTTCCTGCTCACCTAGACTGAGACCTTGCTTCCTGTGTTTGTGAGAGGTTTCAGGGCAGCTTGATCAGAAATGCTGCACAATCTGAAGGTACTGAAAGCAGACTTGAGAGAAACAATGTCTAAGTGTAAGTTGGACTTGGACAAAGGAGTGGCAGCAGGAACCAGTATGATAATATGAAACTAGCCAGGGAACTTGGGATCTGGTGGCAGAAGGAAGTTGAACAGTTAAATGCAGTGTGTAGACTGAAGTTAGGAAGTCAGGTGAGAGGGAATTGAGGTAAAGAATGGGAAGCATACTGACCTATTCAGAAGAGAACTGAGAAAGTCTCCCTTTTATCATGGTTATCTTGCAAATGTAAGATATTGTAGCTGTACTGAGAATGTGGATGCAGAAATGCTTAACTGTCTCTAAATCTGCTGTTATGATGCTTTTCTCTCTAGTATTTCTAAGTACAGAACTTCAGGCTTTAAAGATATTGCAGAGCAAGAAAGTTAAAGGCTCTCATTTGGAAAAGCACAGTGAAATTGTTCAGGAAGTGCAAGCTATTTGTGATGCACTGGGTCTGCCAAACTCCTCATCTTCTGGTATTCCTCCCTTGTTAACCAGTGTGGAACAAAAGGTATGGACTTTTACATTTTCTCACTCTTGCTGAACTGTAAGTGCTGTCCCTGTAAGCATTCATTGTAGAGCTAAGGGCCCAGCAGTCTCACCCACAAAAACCGTATCTGATAAGTGCAAAAGTGTTTTAATTCTGAAAGCCAGCTTAGTGTTTTAAGTTAAACTGCTTTAGTTATGAGGTGAAGTATTTCAGCATTTCCCTGAGGTTGCAATGTACCTGATCAGACATATTTGCCATGCAAGTTTAAGGTATAAGTTTTCCTCTTACCCATTCAAACGTGCTGTAGCAAGCAGAAAACTTTGGGTAATAACTGATTGTGCATTTATGTACCTGCAGTCATTTCTGGAATGTATTTAAATTTAATATCCAAAACTTAGATTAGTCCTTTTGAGTTTATTAATTTCTTAATTGCAAGTGTGGATTTGTTGCAGAAGAGGATGAAAATGCCTGAATTGCCATTATTCAGTGAATAAGGCAACTTAAACCTTAGTCAGCAAGATAGTTGTTTCTGTTGTGTCCCTCCAGGTTCTAACTCATTTCACTGATGTGATCCATAATCTGATTTCCTTACTGCAGAATGTAAATAGGCTCTTGAGGTGGAATTTATCTTCTCTGTCAGACAGCTAGAAGTTTTGCTCTTCATCTCTCTCTAGTGTTTGGGGACAGAGTGACTGATCCCCCCTGTAGGGTAGAATAAAAGCTCCCTCTGCTTCTGAATCTTTAAATTTAATAATTTTACATGATTGTGCTTGTTTTTTCATTCTTCCTCATCAACAATTGGGCAGTTGAACATTCAGAGATTTTGGGGAGAGGGCCTATTACTTGCATGATTTTCTTACATCTGTCTTCAGTGTGACAAGACAAAACCTTTAATAGGTTCATTTATAAATGGCATCACCCAGGTGCAAGTGGAATTGCCTATTCCTACACTATCTGTGCTTGGTCTCTTTAGTTCTAAGGAAATCTTTATGTTCAGTAAATGTTTCTGAAGGGATGAAGAAACAATTCTAGCACTGTTTTGGGAATGAAAGTGTCAGAGTTACAGCTGATGACTGGTGGCCTGATTGTGCTGATCTCCCTGTGTGAGTGATAGCTGTGTTTACATCCATGTGTGTTCATAGGCTGCAGCTATGGCCTGTGACCTTCCTTGCTTAATTCCTTGCTTCACTTCTCTGGTGCAGATTTAGTTTCATCCCATGGTAGGGACAGGACTCCAGTTCTGCAGTTGTGGTACTGCAAGACCAGACCTGGGCTACCAGCTCCTTCACACACACACAGTGATATAGAACGTTTGCTTTGAATTATTGGGCACCTGGTGTCTGCCACCTTTTTCAAAATCTGACATTTCCTATCAGACAGCATCACAGGCTTGAATTGTGCATGGTGTTGCCATCCCAGTTTCTATAAACTGTTACCCTTTCAGAAATACTCAAATGAGCAGAATCTGAAAAGTATTTTATCTTTGGTTTTGGTTGGTTGTTTTTTTTTTTTTTAATTAATGCTGCCTGGACTATTTTCCAGTGGTTTTCAGGTCTGCCAGTTCCACAGTGGTTATACCACTTGTACTCATTTCAGAGTGTAGAAAGGTGACAAAACCAGTTCATTCATCTTCTGTGACTCCTAATTAATAGTGTAATCTGTTCTCTGTGTGTTTCATCCCTTATGAACAAAGGATTTTTTCTTACCTTGCAAGAGATTTTGTAGAATTTCTGCAATGTGTTTACTTGTCCTTCATCCATTGCTTTAATATAGGAGAAGTTTGGAGTTGGTTTGATAGATGACAGGGTTGGAGACCTAAACTTATAGGTATAGCTGCTTTAGAACGGTGGTGCCACCAATTAAAGTTCATTGGCTTTGTAAACATTTTTTTTAAGAGCACCGTTTTGTTACTTTTTTTTAATATGAACACAGAAATTCACTTGAAATTAAATATTTTATTTTTCCAAATATGTTTTGGGTTTTGATTTAATTAGATTCTGCATAATATTGCACTGTTGATGTATAGTATTATATTATTCATAATACAGACTTACATACCGATCTAGTATTTTTATTTAGTGTATCTGCAAATGTATCTGCAGCATTTCAACATGTCTACTCTTTGTCTCTGTCTAGCATCTTCAGCATTGTCAGTAGCTGTGGGAGTAGTTCTGAGAATAGTTTGGCTGTGCAGCAGCAACCTACCAAAGGCCAGATCACACACTGTATTTTGGTATGGAACATTAGAACATTTATTGTTTTAAGTGATTTTGCAGTTTATTTAAGACTTTATTATAAAATCAGGATTGCTTTCTTCATTCAAAATGAGTGTTATAGTAGCTCAAACTTTGAATGTACAATCACAGCAAGTATCTTTTGCATCTCCTGTAATTACCTGGCGTAGTGGTTATCAATATACCTAAGAAAATGAGAGATAAATTGACAGCCTTCTATCACTAAGTGTGTCTTATTATACAGCACTGAAAAACTAATAGTAATTTTTAAGTTGTTTAAGATGCTGTTTCCTTGTAAAGTATACAAAGGGGAAATCTAGGAGTCAATCTGAATTTTAATGCCAAAACCTCCATAAATTCTAAATGAACATTGATGAAAGATTCAGAAAAGTTCATGCCAGTGTTGTGCTTTGTAACTAGTGCTTACATCTGGCTGTTTTCCAATCAAGATGGTGTGAATTTCACACCTAATTACAAAGTAACATTCTAGTACTGTTTATTTGAAAAAACTTTTAATGTGATATTATTCAGAAGACTTCTGAACTTTTTTGGCCCACATTATTAAAAGTACTCAGCTACTTTTCAGATATCAGTGGAATGAAAAGAAGCTACAAAGGGCTGCTGAACAAACTGAGTCAAAATTAAGCTAACATAATACTTAAGTGAAATGTGAGAAGAATTTTTTTTTTAATATTTGGGTAGAAATGCTAGAATTTATTATTATTTAAATTAATGCGTTTCATTTAACTGTTGATCTGTAGTAATTTTACAGATGTAATGGTGCCTGGACAGTAAGGATTAATGTTACTGCAGGGAACAAGACTGAAGAGTTGTCCTGTCACCAGACATCAGGGTCAAACAAAAATGTATTTAAAGTTAGATAAATACTGAATTTATCTGCAGGTATATGAAAGAGAGGCTTAAAAATATTTTATGCTTAAGATTTTGGGTGATCTCTATGCAACTGTACAGTATGACTGTACACCTTATGACTAAGTAAGGCAACATTCTTTCCTCAAATTTAAATTAATAATACGACACCTGTCCACAGGTCAGGTTTTTTCAAAATCTCAGAAAACTCTGGAGGTGCATACATACATGATGTTTTTCTGTCCAAATGGTGTTAAATGTAAAAATTACTGCTCTGTTTTGACAGAAGATGAGGATATTTAATAAATACATTGAACAGGGTAATGAAATGGGAGCTAAATTTTTTTTTCAGTTGTACAAAATTACAAAACAAGTGAGAAATGCCATGTTCAATAAGGATACACTTTATTTGTTAACAATAGAAGAACTCTTTATTTTTATGCAGCAGATTTGAATTTGGTTGTTTTGTCTCAAGCAGATCCAATGGCTTATTTGTTTTCATTTTATATTTAGAGACTGTGTGAACTCCCAAAGCAATCCCATACGTTTTTAGTGTTACCAAGGTCTTTGATTACGTGGTATGTCAAATAGTCAAACATACTTGTCTACATCTAGTTTTAATTATTTGGTTTTATTTTTACACCTGAATGTGTAAAAACTTTAGGATGATTTGGCTGTTACAATTTATGTTTCTTTGAGTATGTTTTCACTGCTCTTTTATCAGGGCACTGCATTTAGTTTTGTTGCCACTTACGTATATAGACTTCTTAGTGAGTTGTGGTGAGTTTTTTTAACTCCTACATATCCTTCTCAATCCAGGGCAACTATCATGTGTGGGAATACGGGTTATAGCATAGGTTCTCACATCCATTGTATTCTTGTCCTCTGGCAGACGGTTGTGTGCCAGAGTTCCTGTGCTCATACCTCTGTCATCAGTCATGGCTGGACAATGTATTCTGCAGCTGTAAGGCAGCTCAGCTTGCTTCACCATTATAGCTGTAGGATTTCCCCAGGAGCCCTGCTGGTGGGAGTGAGGAGTAAGTAGAGATTCAGTAATCTGAATATGACTTCACAGTGTGTCAAAAACATAGACCAGTTCATGAGTATAGACCAGGTTATCGGTGAAGAGATTGCTCCTTAACTGTTACTTATTAATAAAGCTGTGCTGGATGAAAATTATATAGGTGTTCTCTGACTTTGAAAGAAAACATTGATATTAATATTAATTAAGCTGGATTTTATTAATTAATATTAATTAATATTAATAAAGCTGGATAAAAATTATATAGGTGTTCTCTGACTTTGAAAGAAAACATTGCAGAAATTTGGGGGTAGTTTCTCAGTCAGTAAAGGACTGTTTCATTTAGCTGCTCTTGTTTCTTCTAGTTCTGATTTTCATTGATTATCTTCCTTAATTGTTCTCTGTAAACGTCCTTTCACTTTTCAGTTCATGGAAATTAGGAGTATGCAGCAGTGATTGACTTGTGATGGCAGAATGTGTGGCTTTTGTATGTGGAGCCCATTGTTGTGTTTACCTCTTAGTTGTCCTTGCAGCTGCAAACTTAAAATAATTCTAATCTCTAGGTAGTATTCAGCATCACTGGCTTTCACAATCTAACTGTAAATTACATTAAGAACTTTTCATTTTGCTGTATTGGTTTTTGTTTCAGCAGCTGGTCTCATTTTGATAGACTCTTTCTTTCAAACTTTGAGGTAATATTTCTGACCACAGTGGTATATGAAGAGACACCTCTTGCCCCATAGAATTGTTAATTCATCTGCTATTCATTCCTTCTTCTATACTAATTACTGACTGATCTGTTCATCTCTTGTTGTCATACTGATCTTACTCTATTGTTGATTATTAACTTCTGATTTTGATCTTCAAGCATTTATTTAAATTCAAACATAGTTTGTGCTTAGGTGCATTTGCGTTTTGGAGTGGAATATGGCACTCTGTATGTGCTTCAGTTAAAAAAACTGGCTACATGCAGAAGACAGACTACTTTGGAGTGTTTTGTGTAAAGAAAAAGGTTATAGAGAAGCAGGGATTATCAGAGAAAGAGTGTTGGGATCAGTATGGTACATGGAACTGAACTTCACCCCTTATTGTAACCTCTTTTGATATGAATTTAATATAATAACAGGGAATATTACACTAGATTGCCACTTTTCAGATACTGCTAGGCTGTCTTTTCTGATAGAGTCAAAACAGTGTTTTCCTTTAATTTGCTCACTGCACAATATATTTACCTTTTTCTGGGATATTGTGTTTTTAACCTGCCAGAGTGCTGCCCAGCAGTGATGTAAAAAGAAAGAACAAAAACCTTAGTTTTCACACAAAATTTGAGACCAGATTTTTTTTCTTTATATACGCAAAAAAAAAAAAAAAAAATTGAGATAATTATAAAAATCCTGCCATATGAAAGCTGATTTAATAAGTATTTCTTTTTAAAATTAACTAGGTGCTCCAGAATTTGAATTTTGACTTCTGGAATTTTTTTCATAGCAATCATTAGAGATTATATTTCTGTAACATGTGAAGCTCAAAACTGAGCTTTGAACCATGCCTTTGTGACAAATGTAATGTAAATGCCTGTGTGCCCGCATGAAGTCTTATAATCCTTGCAAATGTATCTAATGGCTGTCCCCAGATACAGGTTTTACTGTAGATCATGCACTACCTTAATCCTCCCTTGGACATACAAAAGAAAATTAATTCTAGTTTTACTCATTTTGCTTGGTTCCCCATGGTTATTTACTGAAGCAAATGAAGATGTAGTTCACTCCATCAGACTGTACAAAACTTGAACAATAATATTCATGCAGTCAACTCCAGCTGAAAAATCAGTTGGATTATGTTCAGGCTATGTACAAGTGTTGTGGGCATTCCTGGTAATGATTTTAGAAGAGCTTTGCCGAAGGAAGTTCACTCAAGAAGAGGAGGTAGAGGTTTCTTGTAATGAGAGAGGAGAATACAGTGGTGTTTGGAAGGTAGAGCATATTTCATCTCTTAATTATTGAGGGCAAGAACTAGTGGAAGAAGTATAAGCAAATTTGATTTGGAGTGAATGCAAAAGTTTTAAACATGACGTTAGCTGGAATCAGTTATAGGATTAGAATAAAATTAATGAGAAAGAATGACTGCATGCCTGTCATATCTCCTTCCTTTCTTAATAACACCCATCACCAGATTTTTTTGTAGCCCAGTGTAACATTTGGCAACAGAAGTCCGAACTTCCAGTTGTTGACGTTACAAGACTTAGTAGTATCTAAAATGAGTAATTTAGCTAGTCCTACTTCCTGTATGCATTTGATAAATTTGCTATATAACTATTGTTCTGTTAATGGGAGGACAAGTGATGCGCCATAAAATATTTTTGTATAGAGGCTGGTCATCTTACAGAAGTACTCAGGAGTTCTTTTTATAGTGGATCATAAGCTAGAAGATGTGTATCTGTTTCGTGAGTCTGCTAAAACAAACGTGCTGTGTGTGATCTTCCAAGTAGCAGAATGAGATTGTAACAAATTTTGCTGAAATAAATCTAAATATCATTTGTGTTCTGAGATGTATGTGTTTTTTTCAGGTGAAAGACATCCTCTCAAAAGTTAAAAATAACCATGTGGGGAAATCACTGCTGACAAAACCTCTGAACTCTGACCAAGTGGTAAAGTTTCTCCATTTCTTTTCAGTATTTAAGAGGATGGTCAAAATAAATGTATATGGCTTCATTTAACTTTGCCTTTTTACAGTCACTGTTCTATTGCTGAATATTAATACTAAAATTCAGTTGCCAAATACGAACAGTGATAATCAGGTATTCTTCCAGAACTGACATTACAAAACAAACCTTGTGTTGATTCATCCATTGTTCATTTTCAAATCATTTTGTACAGGCATTCTACTGTAGCATTACATAGATGCTGTGTAGTTTGTAGTGGTCACCTCGGGATAGACATCTTAGTTTATGGATGGGGTTAAGTTTGAATTGACCTCTATAACTTTATATATTTGTCTGTTTTAATTTCTTATTGTAACACTGCAGGAAAGATTGGAAAAGATCAATGATGCTCTTTGCAGTGAGTACGAGTGTCGACGGCGGATGTTGATGAAGAGGCTCGATGTGACTGTGCAGTCTTTTGGCTGGTCTGATAGAGCAAAGGTAAACTCAGTGTATTTTTTGCTTCCTGTAGGTGGGAGTCTGCTACTGTTCCTCAAGTCTTCCTACAGAATATGCATGCCATGTAAATACACAAATACACTTCCATCACTGTTACCTTTTTTCCCACCTGTTCTCATCTCAGGTTGTAATATCTAAATCCTAGGTATTGAGGAAGGGGATGGATTTAACCAGGCATGGCACAGTCCATCCTTTGTGACTGTTTATAGCTTCGCAATTAGAAATTCTAGCATCCTTTGTTGAGGTTTCTCACTTTAATTAAAGTTCCCATTTCCCTGTTTTCTGTATCTAACACCCTCCAATGAGTTTACTAACTAAGAGGGAACCTCTGCACCTCATGCAGATGCTAAAGACAAATACTGGGCCTTAACATAGATTGGGTGTAAAAAGTGACCATTCATAAAGTCTGATAGGTTACAATGACTGCCCCCTATCTTGGATTCTACTAGATGAACAGCTGTTCAGTTGAACAGGTTATTTGAATAGTAGCTTGTGTGAGGAAATCACACAATTGCTTGTAATCCTTCCAGTCACTAACAATTCCAAAGCACACCTCTGTATTTGTTCTGCTGGTATTGCTTTAATTGTGATAATTTCATTTGTGCTGTTTCCTAGAACTCTGTATATTAAAAAATAGTCATGATATTTCCGAGCTGGAAATATATCTTGTTTGTATCCCAAAGAGTAGGGAGATAAGAAACACAAAGTTTGTAATTTGATGAAGACACATGTGAGAAGCTGGAGGCAGATGTTTTTGTTCATTAGGGACAAAATCAGCTTTCCTTCCAAAGGTTTCTTTAGAAAACTTAGGATGAATAAATCTTAACACTTGGAAAGCTTACTGGAAGTATGGATTGTTACAAGTCTTCGTGACATCACAATTTGTCATTGGCACATGCAGAATCATCTGCATGAAGCTCACTAAGTATCACTGGAACACGAGTCTTGGTGCTGCTGTGCTGCTTTGGAGTAGCTCACTGTTTAATTTCTGAAGGGGTTGTGAATGCTTTTATCCTGCAAGAAAGGAAATGGGAGGTGTTTAGCTCGGAGAAGCCAGGAGATGTCCCTACTTGTATAACTTCCTTACAGCTGTACCAATACAATTATGTATCTTCAAATTTAAAGTATACTTCTAAAATGTAGTTGATGTGACTGATGACTAACTTAAGCAGACTAAAACTTTGTCACTTGCTATTGTTCCATAAAAATAATGAATGCCCTTTTGAAATAGAACAATAGTTTAAAGAGGTTTTTGATGATAAAGTAGTCAGATTATTTGCTTTCCTGTCCTATAAAGACTGTTGATGTGAAATATATGCAGTTACAGAAATAACCAGGTTACATACTAACTCAAAATAACATACTGTTTTAAATCTTTTTTTTCCCCTATTTCTCTTGAAGGAAAGAATTATGTTAATCACTTAATATCTTTCAGAAGGTTTTGGGGATTGAAAATGTTCTGACATTGATGTAGTTTAGAGATTTTTATTTTTTTAAGCTAAGAGACAAATGGTTGTCTCTTTAAAATTTGTTAGCTTGCCTTTTTTTCCCCACCATTAAATAGATATTGATATGTTTCTCTGCTTTTGATGGTATGGCTTTTTGGGGATTTTTTTTTTGTTTGTTTTTTTGTAACTTGTTCAGCCTCCAAGAGGGCTAAGTTTGCAGACTGAAATGGGTTCACAAATGATGGAGTAATTACGTAGCAGAACAGTCTTGTGAAGGTTCAGCATGAATTGTCTGGTCTAGCCAATATTAAATGTTTTATTTCACTCTGAAGGTCATTCTAGATTTTCCCAGAAAGTATTCATTTTTTTCTGCTAAATAAAAAATAAATGGAATTTATTTGGAAAAAATAAATGAAGCATGCTTGGAAATCAAAGTATGCTTGGAAAAAATCTAATGTTGTCCTCTTCTCAGTCTCACTTTTTCGTGGCTTGCAAAATTGTTTTGCTGTATTGATGTATTTTCAGGTTTTTTTCCACAGATTTACTTTATGTTGAAGCTGCTCTGTTTTCATCATGTTCAGAAGCAATCTGTTGAATATGGTTATGTAAAGCTCTTGAGAAAGCAGTGTGGACTCCTTAAGTTTTAGTCTGTAGACATGTTGGAAGACATTAAAGAATCTGATGCCAGTGGATAGAGAAGTTTCTTTTGTACTGGTGCTAAGCATCAATTAAACATAATCAGCAGCACTTTCTGTATAATATCTCCACCAACAGGAAGAGAATTGGTGATAAATGGCACTATGATTTGTGATATAGTTTGTATTTCCAGAAGCTACACCTCACCTTGTGTTCAGATTGAAACTTACTGAGACCAGCACATGGTTTATAGTAAGTCTGTTGGCGTGTTTGCTACCTGGCAAGTAAGTAGTATTTGCTGTCATCCTTCAGGTAAAAACAGATGAAATAGCACGGATCTACCAGCCCAAGCGCTACGCGCTGTCTCCCAAGTCCACCATTACACTGGCTCACCTTCTTGCTGCTCGCGAGGACTTGTCCAAGATCATAAGAACCAGTAGTGGATCAACACGGGAGAAGACTGCCTGTGCTATCAACAAGGTACGCTTTTCTGGCAGTGAGAAATGGACATGGGCATTTGCAGACCTCTCGAAAGGAATGAATTACACTGGTTTTGCTTGGTACCTTAATTTCATTTTTTCCATTTAAGAAAGGAAGGTTTGCAGTATTCTGGTAAACATTGCAGAAAGTCCTTTTTTTGATCTTCCTAGACAGTCAGTCATGCAACAGGATGAAATGAAACAGAGTAATGTAGATGAGGGGGGAAGTGTGGGGAGTGTAAATGTGAGTGTAAATGACCTCTTGAGTTCAGGGGAACTGCACACGTCAAGGATGCCTGTAAGTGTTTTTGTGGTATCAGTTCCTGAGCTACCTTGCCAGGATATTATTGTTTGGTTTGTAAACCCACATCTCTAGTTCATCGGTGTGTTATAAATCATGAAAGTTTCTGTAGAAATGTCATTTTGCTGCAAAGTAAAATTACCTGGTTTGGCTGCAGTAATGAATTGACTTAGTGCTGCTCTCTTTTATGTGATAAAAGCTGAAGCTTGTAAATAGTGACGTGAGTTTCACCATTCAAGTGGTGACTAAACCTGATTTCATTGATCCTGCGTTTACAGGTTTTTCTAATGTTTTTTACCTGATTTAGATACTTTAATATGTTTTGATCCTTAACACTCTGAAATTTCTTAATTATTATAGGATTTCAGAGAAAGGTGGGTTTGTTTTTTTTTTGAGAGGACTCTGAAAATGACCTTTTTTTCCATACAGGTTCTGATGGGGAGAGTCCCTGACCGTGGAGGCAGACCAACAGAGATTGAACCACCTCCTCCTGAAATGCCTCCATGGCAAAAAAGACAAGAAGGTGGTGGAAGAGGTGGCTGGGGGGGCGGTGGTGGTGGAAGGGGTAACTGGGAGGTGGCTTCCAAGGTGGAGGTGGCTTCCAAGGTGGCAGGGGAGGTTATGGTGGCAGGGGAGGCTACGGTGATCCGTATGGTGGAAGGGGAGGGGGAGGATACCGAAGATACTAAAGTACTGTAAATCTTAACAGAGTAACTGGCAGAATATAGTGGTGGTGTTTACTGGTACTAGGAATTTAGATATGTTGACTTGGGTTTAGGTTAGAATTAAGTATGACCATATGAGTAATTTCATTAGACCAACTGATATTCTCACTGAGTTCTTTTAGTTAACTGAAGTTTTATACTAAAATCCGATGACTGAAGTCCTTGTTTTTCATACTGCTTATATGGTGTTTTTTATTATGTAATTTTATTTAAAATAAGTCTCAGAAAACTGAATAAAACCCTTTCTAAACAAACAAAAATATATTAATGGTCAGACCTCTCTGATTATTGCATGTTGCATGTCTACTCTCCTGCTCCAAAATGTTGTGTAGAAAAAACAAAGTAGGCCTAAGAACTGGATGAAACCACTTCTAAAAGACTCATGAATGCTGCTTTCAGGCTTGTTCTCTTCATGTCATTGTTCTTCATTCATAGTTTTCATGAAAATGAATTCATGAATTCATTAATGTAAAAGAATTTTATTTCAAATGTTAAAATCCTTAAGGCTTTGGTGAAAATTACTCAATTAGATTTGATTATTCTTGCAGAACTTCACATTATAGTAACATTGTGAATTAATACTCTACATAAATTAATCAAATCAGGTTGGTTTTTTGTGTTCATAATGTATCAGACACACTAATGGTACTGTAAACTCATCATAGTGAGTTTTGATAGTGTCTTATTTTCATTTTACCTGTTTTCCATTGTGGTTGTTTCATAAAAAAAAATTTAAAATCAGATTGGGCAGAAAACTTGCAGCCATCATGTCTGGTGTGAATTCATGTATGTATCCTTGTGTATCAGCTTTGAGACAAAGTTGGAATAAGCTGAGCTTTATAAGAAAGAACATGACATTTCTTCTCCCCTTTTTTTCTTTCCCCTTGTTTTTTTAAATTATTCTCTTCTCCCTTGCCTGCTCTGTTTGGGAATCACAACCTGTCTGATTAGTAACAAGATACCTCATGTAGCAGTTGCCTTCTGTCAGTGATTTCTCTCTCTGCCAACCTAAAAGAAGCCCTGTCTTGACATGGTATGGTTGCCTTCTCCCTCACACACACTGTTAGTCTAGAAGGAGTTAGCTGACACACCATCATGCCTGTAAATATATGTAGACAGGAATTAAATTTAGCACTGTCACTTAGAGAAGTCAGTTTCTGCTGCCCAGTATCTTTTAGATCTGCCATGTTGTGAGGCCGCTCCTGAGAACAGAGGTCGGAAGGGGATGCTGCCTGAATATGTTCTCATGACAGCATTTATCAGGGTCAGGTCACTACGGAGAGATTCAGGAAGGCATCTGATGATTAAATAGCACAGCAGGCTTGAAGCACTTGTAACTGTAGGCGTAACTCCATGTTCAACTTTAGGATTTGATTTTAATGTTTCTCAGTTACAAGCTCTTTCTGCACAAATTTCCTACTGGTGTCCATTGGTATGCTTTAAAGATTTTTTTTTTTCTTAACACACATATCATGCCCTGTTTCATTGGCAACTTCATGCATGAATATAAAGTTCTGTTGCAAATCTAATTACTGTCTTTCAAAAGCTTTTCTTCTGTTATTTCCTCTCTCATCACTTTGCTTGAGAATGCTGCTTCTAATGTATGATATATATGGCTTTACCCAGGCTTTAGGGTCGCAGCAGGTGCCTGATAAAAAGAAGCAGAAGTTTTGCTTGCCTAGAACATGTTAGCTGGGATGTGAACTTTTGCAATAATGGTTTAATGTCACCCAACTGCTGGCACTGTAGCTCCTTTGCCAAATTTTTCTGTGCTTCTTACTGGCCTAAGCTCTTGGCAGCCTCTGCAGTCATTATGGAGAGACACCTCATGGGTCACGTTGGAGCACAGTACTGGTTCTCTTGATTCTGAGCTTGGTTTTTGCCTAATGCTCTGGAATAGCTCCCAGACCAATGACATACCAATTGAGACTGCTGCCCTTGGAGCAAAGTATTGGTCAGCAAAGGAATAGAGAGCAGCTTTTCAACAACCAAAGCCTTAAGATTACATTAAAATTCTGTTTGCTGATCCCAGTGTTTCTTTTTGCTACAAATAATCAGCAGTCAAGCATGTGGCTTCATCAAGGAACTACACCGGAAAAAGAAACAACATATCTATGCTGAAAGGTTTCATAAGTCTTAGGATGCAAGATTGCAGCAGTTTAGTTGCATTGTTGTAACTGCAGATGTGATGTGCCTTGGTGTTTTTACACTCATCAGTCCCTCCTGTTTGTTAGTAGGCAGGACAGTTCTGAATGAAGTAAATCATCAAGTGAAGCAGGTACATGCCCACTTCAATTCTAACAGTTAAATTATTTCAGTATCCTATTTCAGTCAGGTGTATGTAGACCATGTAAAATATGGAAATCCAAATAGGCTGGAGATTTTCTTTTTTAATCTGGCCGTTTCAATCTTTCTTAAATAACTTCAAAATCTGAAGCCAGTCGTTAAAAAATAAAGTAAGCACCACCATATTTCACGGAGGTATCCTTTGCTGTCCTTTTGTCAGGATGTATGCTTTAATTTCTCAAACAATGCAATAACACCATGAAAGTAATTGATTTAAACCTCAAGTTTTGTCTTGAAAAAAAAACATATTTTCAAAAATACTGTTGTAAGTAAAAGATTTTCATATATATGTTTGTGAACATTTTTGTGTTTATTTGCATTTAATGAATACCTAAGTTAATATGGTTTTGTTTGTTGAAGATCTGAAAAAAAAAGGTTGGAGATTTTTTTCAGGAATTGAGAGACGCTTTTGTCAACAGCTGTAAACACTGAGGAATAAAGTACTGTATTTAAAATTATTTGCATCATCTGTGTGTATTGTGATTTGGATCCACTATCATATGTTCCTCCTTTGTTTGTAAGAAAGAATTCTTGCTGGTGATTTACAATAATGGTGAAACTTACTTTTTATGGTAATGGAAATAACATGTATTTTGACCAAAATGGAGAAGGCAATAGATGATAACTTTATAGAAAAGTTTTAACAGGCAAGGTATGTCACAAGTCTGGGATTTTGTCTGGGATTACTAAAGAATCTCAGTTACATTTTATCTTACTCAAAAAAAAATGTAAAAGCATAGTGATCTATATGATCACTGCTTTTGTCTTTTTGTAAACTAAAGAAATATCCTCCAATTACTTCTCAAGTTTTATTACTTGAGATAATTATGAAAAAAACCCCACAACTTGTTTTGCCTAAGACTGTAGAGCAGATTTGCCATACAAATAGGAGTTTCACCTCTTCTTGTCTTCCCTGACATGATTGAAGATAACTGAATGGATGCCCATTTCCCCATATAAAAACCAGTTTAGGCTGTGATAGTTTGAAGTTTAAGGTAAATAGCAGGTCTTCAGAGTGCTACAGTTCTGCCTGTGCAACAGAAAACCAGTTTAGGCTGTGGTAGTTTGAAGTTTACTGTAAGGTAAATAGCAGGTCTTCAGAGTGCTACAGTTCTGCCTGTGCAACAGGCAGCATTAGCAGACACAACAGAAGCTTTACTTAAACTTGGCTACTGTGCTGTGAAATCTTATCAAAACTAGCATTCTTAACAAAAGTGAGAGAATATGATACTAAAGATGGGTGCTTTGTAGTACTTGGAATAGTGAGTAACAACACAGTGTTTTTACTATGTCAGCCACTAGAATACCAAACAAATAATCTGCAAATACCTAGCTTCCTGAGTTTTCCCAGGCACCATTCCAAGGCTCAGAGAAGGTGAAGCTGGTCTGAGACACTGGTACTAGGTAAATGCTGCAGAAGGGTCTCAGGTAACAGTCAAGGAAGATGAGTATAGTTTGTATAGACTTCTCTGAGATACAAAATCAGAGGCAGCATGAAATGCAATTTTAATATTTTTCTATTATAAATATTAAACCAAAATCTTAACAATTTATATAAAATATTTACAATCTGTACATTTTTCAAACTTCTCAGACAGCATTAAACTTGAAGTTGCCATAGAGATCAGTTACAACAAACTAACAGATGCTGCTAGAACAAAACCGTATTTCCAAAACATATGAGCTAATCTAAAAGCAATTGTATTTAACCTGAATATAAACTGTAGCCCTGCCTTGTTAATTATGATACTACTCAATCTATTTACTTTTATCTTTACACAATCAGAATTCACGCTTAAAAAATGAATGAGGAATGGTGCTTGTTCTCTCTGCCTTTTTGTAAGTAGAGCTGGACCTAGAGAAGGAAGAGTGTTTTCATTTGACTTAGCCATGACAAGATAAATTTCAGTATCACTGTTTGATAACATGACTTCTAAACAGTGCTTTTAATTGTGTCCCTTTTTCCTAACATAAAGCAGCTTGAAGATTAACACAAAGGCAAGTGATTTTTTTTTTTTTCTGGGCAGCATTGTCATTTTTAACAGTTTCCCTGTAGTCAGGTTCTGCTGTTAAGTCTTTCATGCAGGAAAAAGGACATCCCAAAAGAAAAGAAGGGACTAAGAGCACTTCAGAGAAAGAGGGGGAAACAGAAAAACAAAAAAATGAGGGAAGAAGGAGATAACTGTTACGGGCTTTGGGCAAACAGAGAACCTGAAGGTACTTACAAAGCTCCGAAGTTATCCAGGTATCAGCTGACTTCTTTGAAGCAGGAAGTTTTTAGCACACATGAAGCACTGCACACTTGTTCTGCAAGACATTCCTGCATACAGATCCCTTTTAAATCTCAGATTGAACAAGCAAACTTTACAGAGAAACATTAAGTTAGCGCTTAGTACTGTACAAACCTGTGGTCATAACTCAGTCTGGAGTATTAAGTACCTAGTTATACAGTAGCCTTTGGGCCAGCTGCTGATAGTAGGGCATTTTCCTTTAAACTACAAGGTTTTGTTCATGATCGCCACATTCCATCATAGACAAAGTATATGTATATACACAAATTCAAATCCAGAGTTTAGACCACCAGTGAGCACTCGGCTGTACAACAAGATTTCTGTGTCTTAGCTGCTCCTCTGGGGCATTTTTTAAATAAGTGAAAATATATTCAACTTTTTATCTTGCTTAATAGTTGTAGAAACAGACTTTTATTTGTTAAATGCCTTTTAGAAATATACCTTGCTGTAGTTCCCTGAAGAGAGGACAAAATCAAGAAGCTCACAGAAAATGGGCAAACCAAGGGTGCAGATGTGAACTGACAGCCATTCTGATTGCTTCACTGACCAAAGTGCAATTCCACCTTACTTGTTAATAATTCAGGTTTAGTGTATGAGTTTAAAAAGCTGCACAGAGCTGTTTTTTTCCTATGCATTTCAGTTATTTACAGAAATGTTACAGAAAATCCACTACTACTACTACTCCTTCCCTCCATTTGTTTTTACTTATACATGGCATTGCAAGCACAATCCAATTTCCAAGCAATTTTGAATCACTAAACTGGCAAGTACTTTCAAATTAATTTTATAAATAAAGCATTCATATACTTGATAATGACTAAATTGTGGATGGAATGTATATTTATGCCACTTTGAACACAAAGCACAGATGCTATTGTCACTGACTAAATTTCAATCTATAATGGAACTGGTAACTTAGAAGTGTTGAGCATTACATGGACTTTTTTTATGGTGTTTGTATGTGTGATGACAAATACACAGCTGTAAGTGTACAGATCTCTTGGAATGCAAATGGAATTTTCTAATTGGCTATTTTGACAAGTAGATTTATCAGTAACTTGAAAGACTATTTTCTCTTAACAATATATACACTTTGTGTCTTTAAGTTACCTCCCTCGCACCTTTTACTATACAAAATTTACAGACATAGGAGCACACTCATCTTGACTTAATGTAAAGTGCATGTGAAATCTAGGAGAGAGAAAATGGAGAAATCTTGTTAGGAGCTCTGAAATACAGTAGCTATTGCACAGGGCTTGCTGTCCAGTTTCTCTCATAATATGGCTCTACAGATTCTGCTCAACAATGGCAACAATCTACTTTGACGTGAGAGAAATATAATCAACCTTGTCCCATATCTACTGTATGTGGACAACAAGTTACTCCTTAAGCCAAGTAAGAGGAATTAAATCTTCCAAGTCATGGCATGGAAGCAGTATTCAATGTCAAGCCTCTATAGTCTCACTTCTGTTACTTTAATAAAGGTAAGTGTTTGAGCAGCAGAACTTCTAAAGCTCTGAAAGATGTTTTAAAAATTTGTCAGTTTATCTTAAAGTGTATGGATCAATCAAATATCATTAGCTTGGCTACTTTAATTTTCTTGTTAAATTTTTGGAGTTAAATGTGACCATTCACTTCATGTTTTTAATTGGTTGCAGCTCCAAGAATGAATTATTTTTCTTAATATAGGTTTTCTACAGTTTTAATTTACTCAGCTTTATCACACATGTTTCTATAAAACTGAGTTGGGCCAAATTTGAGGTGACCCAGTCTTATGAATATCTACATTGTCAGAACATTTGTACAGTAAGGCATGCCGCTGGCAGCCAGGTAAGTCACTGGAAAATCAATATGGTCTTCAACATGAACAGAGACTTCAGCAACACTCTCACTCCTTTTAAAAGCAAACCCAGAAGATACTATCTTCCATTGCACAGATAATGCTGAATTACCTTACAAGGTCAAAATTATTTTATACATTTGGGAGTGCATGTTTAAAAGTGAAATGTGTTGAGTAAAGGGAACATTTCTGCTTGATATCCTTCAGATTCTCTCTCCATTTCACTTGGTAAGCAGCTTTATCACAGCCCCTCTTTCAGTCTTACATTCTTCCATTCCATAGGAGATTTTCCTCTCATCTGCTAGGAGCAGTCTCTGTGTTGTAGACTGTCAACTACATGGTTTCTTTTCTGGATTGTGAGAGATTCAATTGTTTTGTGTGCCTGTTCCAGCTGGATCTTTAAACCTTCATTGTCTGCCTTTAGAATATTCCTTTCCTAAACAAACAAGAAAAAAAAAAATATATAATTGTATTTTATAGTGCAATTTTTTGAGGACTGTCTGGCTGTATATTTAGGTTGACTGCCATAAAAATAAATTTGTGTAGCTCTCAAAAGAACCAGTAACTTATCTGAGTATTTCCACAGTCCCTGCTCTACCCTTTGTGTATGCTCTGGCAACTTTCCACCAGCTGGTATCTGAGTCATGTCCACAACCTGCACTTATCCACCCCCCACTGCACCTCTCATAACAACAGCAGTCTGAGGAAACAACAACACAGGTCAGACTTTACCACTCTACTGCTGCAGAAATTGATGTACCAGAAACCATTCATTCATAACATCATCTGCTGTTTAGTAGTTGAGGTCAGGAGGGAGAAAGGGCAAGTGTAAATTACAGGGCTTACATGAATGGGACATTTTAAAGAATGCTTTTTTACAAGTTCCATCCATGCTTCACATCCTTGTTGTATTGAATATACTGCTGATTGAAAGGGAAGTGGTTTGTACTGGAAGATTGTCTTAATCTTTGTCTTAATAAACCACTCATCTTTGATAAAACGTGAGTTCACTTTATCAGCACCAAGGGATATTTTGAAAGTTAGAGTCATCATTGAAAGATTAGACAGTGTGGTCTAATCATCACAGAATAGTGATAAATATTGAGTAAAAAGTATGAAAATAAGTCTTTGTTCCTCTTAATTATAGCTGGATCCATCCATTATTTGCTCCTTTGGAATTATAATAGTCTCTAACCTGTCTGGAGAGGTGTTTGTACAAACCTGAATTTGGGCCATGTTTGAGGTGACACAGTGTCATGGATAACTCAGCTTACACTTTAGAGTAAGCTGAGACACAACAGGGCAGATGCAGGTGAAATCTAGCAAG